TAAAATATCATCCAATTTATATATGTAGTAGTATGTAATAATTATTTATGTATGTTACAGATAAGAGTGATAAATTTGTTATGTAAATAATGTAATGGATTAATATGTTTTTATTTCCTTGTAAAAACTGGTTGTTAGGTGTCAAACATGTAAAAACTGGTCTGGTTGTTTTAATAAAATGTATAAAAAGTATCTATCTAGTTCGTTAAAAAATAACACAAAGTAACCACAAACTACGTATTTCTGTTCTGGATAATGATATAGAAATTCTCATCATAACACTAATACTTAGGCTTACAAACAAAAAGTTTACGGGAAGCAGTACGTCTGGTTTCTTATTGGTTGGTATGAAGACGACTGGTACACCATTCAGGAACGTGGATACAACTGTAGCGTCGAACAGATGAAAGAAGCTTTGGAAGGCCATTTTACCACAGAAGCATTGATGTTGAACCAGGGCAGTGAACGTACTATTTCTGGAATGGTCAGTAACGCGTACTTATCATGGATTTAACATTAATTAGTGAGAAAACGTCAATAATTCAAATGTCTCAATAAAGCTACAGTATAAATACAAATCAATGGTAAATACTGAACATTTATGAACAACTAGTTATTTTGAAGTATTTAAGCCTTAAAAATGAAAATTGACCTATTTCGATCCATAAGTACCTTTATATGTGAATAATGGCGTACCTCTGTAACAATATGTTTAATTAAAGTATTGTTAAACACATATCTTGAATTCTCATAACGGTGTTTATTTTTCAGTTAGCTATTGTATTACCAAATAGATTATTTTGAAGTATTTGAGCCTTAAAAATGAAAATTGACCTATTTCGATCCATAATTACCTTGATGTGTGAATAATGGCGTACCTCTGTAACAATATATTTAATTAAAGTATTGTTAAACACATATCTTGAATTCTCACAACGGTGTTTATTTTTCAGTTAGCTATTGTATTATCAAATAGATTATTTTGAAGTATTTGAGCCTTAAAAATTAAAATTGACCTATTTCGATCCATAATTACCTTTATGTGTGAATAATGGCGTACCTCTGTAACAATATATTTAATTAAAGTATTGTTAAACACATATCTTGAATTCTCATAACGGTGTTTATTTTTCAGTTAGCTATTGTATTACCAAATGGATTATTGGCAAAATTATGCAAACAAATGTAATAGGCCTAATACTAATATCTTATTTCAAGTATGATTATCTGTAAAATATTTTAAACCCCTGTTTCATTATCCTAATATAGAAAAAATAATAATAACGAAAGTTAGTTCATCTTAAAAAAAAAAAGAATACTGTTCAGGAAATTATACATCTAAGTTTTAATGGTTTATCCTTTATCCCTTTCATTCATTTAAAAATTTTTCTTCGCTAATAAATTTTAATACATTTTTTTGTTTTCATTTGTTGAAATATAATTACAGACATCAAAAGATTTCCTTAGTCGCTACAAAGAAGCTTTAGTGGAGTTCGGTTACATTGATCGATTACCAGAGGGACACCAGGAGGCGCCACTAGCGTATGATGCAGTGTGGGCTGTAGCTCTAGCCTTAAACAAAACTATAAAGAGATTGTCTGAAATGGGCATGTCATTAGATGATTTTACATATGAAAATTCAAAAATCGCCCAAGAAATTTATTCAGCCATGAACTCGACTCAATTCCTGGGCGTTTCGGTGAGCATCATTGCAGGTTTTGTTAATTTGTATGTATGTTTGATAAAAATGTGTCATCTGACTATGTATCTGTCGAACTCCACACTTCTGTGTTTCTTCATAACAGTTATTTCATTTCCAAAAACTTTATCTTTATGAAAATATTTCGTTGGTTTCAAAACATATACTTATGTGTTCATTTCTTTATATATGTAGAACATTTCTTAATATACTCTGTAAGCCATTTACAAAGACAAATATATATATATATATATATATATGTATAAAGAAAATTAAAAAAATATATTTAGTGAATCGAAGTCAATGACTGGTTTGGATTATCACGTAACAATATATATCTGATATAATTAGATGATTATAATGGGAAAAAAGGAATGAAAATAATAGAAGAAAATGAATTAATGTTGGCTTTTGGAATAAAATATGTATATATATATATATATGTGTGTGTGTGTATTCAGTTCTGAATTTCCAGAAGGTTTTCCAAATTACAAGTATATATATATATATACGTTTCGATGGTTCTATCCAATTGTTTTTATTGCTGTATTTTGAGAGTACCCCATTTGGAAAGTATAGTTTTCTTATAATAAAAATACCCACTTGCCTTGCATGGCCTTTTGTTATGAAGGAGACACTGCCAAGATAATCAGATTTAAAAATTGAAATCAAATATTTTGGACTATACCCAGTATTAAATTGTAAGGAGATAATATCATGAAGTACGCTGCATGTATATAACTCGAAACAGTAAAAATGTCTTATGGAACTATAGGAAAAGGAATGACACGTTTTTTTCTATAAACTTTAGGGCAGTGTTGCATTTTCTTCTAAGGGAGATCGTATTGCTCTAACACAAGTCGAACAAATGATAGGTAAGAAAGATTTTTAGGGTTTAACTGTTTATTATTTGGTAAAAACAACTCGCTTTGTATTAGATCCAAACTTCCCGTTATATGCTAAAGAAGCATTAGAAACAACTTTCTGTGGTATACGACTTGTTGGCCATGTTTCCTACCTCTATAGTTAATATACATAAATCTCTGCACATATTTAGCACGTGTTCTTAATGTAGAAAATCAGTCAAGGGAGCCATCAAGTTCCTCTCACCCTAGTTATTTATGGTTTGTTTCTAAGCGCAAAGCTATAGAATGAGATATTTTCTTTTTGCTCAACGCGTGTATCCAACCTCAATATTTAGCGTTATAAGCCTTCAAGCTTACCACTGAGCCACCGACTGGCATTATTTACGGAACTAGGATCATTCAATTAGGGTATCACGTGTGCATGCTATTAGAAAATATTGTTTTAACGTAACACTTATTGTCCAGAAGGCGACAATGATCTTTCCTACTGACAGGTGACACCCCAGGGGTATAGCATCCCTTGTTTTTCAGTGAGAGAGATCTACAGTTATAAGTGTTTAGAGAAAAATATTGTTTCACAGTATAATTCATTCCGTCTAGTCTCTTTCTTTGCTTCAGACTCAGTTGAAGTTAAGAGAAATCAGTTTTGCTCATTAAAACATCTTCTGGCACCTCCAGTTACTATGGAGCTCCTACCCGATTACTCAGAGGTAAATCAGTAAATCACAGAATATCACGCTTCTAATGTCTCTTTATCATATCATAAAGTGTTTACATTCATCATATCAGCCAAAAATAGACTTGACAGATCATTCAAGAATCGAAGCATCAAATATCTTAAGTAATTATCCAAGTTTTCCATATTAAATACCTGGTAATTATTTGGTTGGGGCTGCTTAAGATATATAAATTTACGATGGTAAAAGTATTGTTTTATTTCAGTGTAATGAGGATTATGAGATTGCTGGGTTATAAATTTTGCTTTTTTCTTCAGTTTTTACAAAGAAATATTTAAGCAGTATTGAAATCTTGAACAGTTGAAAGATGGAAACAAGATTGAATAATATAATTGCGTTAATTCTGTGTTGGGAAGTTTAAAAACGATAAGTCTGTTGGGTCAGATAATATTTCCCCAAGGGTTTTGAAGGAGGTTAAGGATTGGATATGTCAGCCACTTACTCCTATTTTTTGTAAGTCCTTGAATAGTAGTGGGTAGGTACCAAAGGATTGGAAGTTAGCTAATGTCACTTCTTTTTCCAACAGAGATGACAGAAATTGTCTCAGTAATTATAAGCCTATTAGTCTTACATCAGTGTTGGAAAATGTTTTGGAAAGTCTGATAAAAGATGCTTTGATAAACGAATTTTATTGGACAGTTAATATGGGTTCACCAAGAGAAAATTTTGCCTTACAAATATTTCGAAATTCTTTGAAAATGTTACTGCTTATGTAGAAGAGGGTAAGGGTGTTATATTTGGTATATCTGGATTTTCAGATAACATTTGACAAGGTGCCACATAAAAGGTTTACAAAAAGAATTATCTCTATAGATGTGGTGGATAAGTTAGCAAATTGGGTAGAAGAGTAGCTGAATGGAAGAAAGTAGACAGTTGTTACAAATGGAGTTCAGTCAAACTGGATTAATGTTACAAGTGGGGTACCTCAGAGCTCAGTCTTAGGACCTTTGTTCTTTGTGATTTGCATCAATGACATAGATGAAGGAATGGTCAATAAATACTCAAATTTGCAGATACTATTAAGGTCTTGGGTGTTGCTAGCTGTGAAGAGGATGCTACTGCTTCACAAAATAATTTAGATCATTTAGTGATTTGGGCAAATAAATGGCAGATGAGTTTTAATTATAATAAATGCAAGATAATGCATATGGGTTATCATAATTTAAATTCTAAATTTAATTTAGATGTGAATAACCTTAACGGTGTCATGAAAAAAAGGGATCTTTGTGTAATGGTTGATGAGTTTCTTTAGCCATCCAAGCAGTCTGCTGTTGCTAGTGATAGGGCAAATAGGATTTTAGGTTGTACCTAAACAAATATTGAATACAAGTCTAAAGAGGTTATAATTTCATTGTGTAGGTCACTGGCTAGGCCACATTTGGAGTATCGTGTTCAGTCTTGGGCTCCTTACCTTAGAAAGGACATTGAATTGTTGGAAAGAATTCAGAGGAGGGTTACTAGAATGGTGCCTGGGATGGAGGGTTTGTAATACAAGGAGAGGTTAAGAACTCTGAAATTGTTAGAAAGGATCTGATTGAGGTGTTTAAGATAATAAATGGAATTGATAGGGTTGATGCATCATCTTTTTTTTATACTTAATGGTGCGAATAGTAGGGGGACACAAATATAAATTTTGGCAGGGTAGGAGTCATCTTCAGCTAAGACAGCTTTATTTTCCTAACAGAGTGGTTTGTCCTTGGAATGGTTGCCTTCGGATGTTGTGGAGGCAGTAAATTTAAGCGCGTTTAAGAGAAATCTTGATAACTGTATGAATGATAAGGGCTGACTTTAAGATTTTTTAAAAATATTTATTAATATTTTTAGTTTAGTTTAGAGGATTGGACAGCCGAGATGGACCAATAGGTACCATGTTGTCACAAAACATTATGTTATGTTATGCTTCAGGTAAGCCTTCTTCATGGCCATAGGGTTTAACTTTGTGTTAAATGGAAGCCAGACTTCGTGGCTTTCTAAACTTCTAATAAACGTATTATCTTACTCGTAATGCTAGAAACCGGGTTTCAATATCTGCTGTGGGCAGAGCATGTATAGCTCATCGTGTTGCTTTATGCTTAACTTCAAAGAAACAAACAAAATCTTACTCGTGTCAGAACCAAAAGATGAGATACACCTTTATACTGTACATTGCCTAATTAGAGTGAATATATAGTATAGAATGTTTAGGGCTAATCTTAATAGCTAAGCTGTCGGAAAGTATAAGGTATTATTGGATTTATAGTCTAAAATGCATTAGTAGTACTGTGTGGAATATATGTTATCTAAATATTCATATTTTTGGTTAAATTGTTTCTAAGTAGCCTTTATTTTAATAAAAAAAGTGATTTCATCTTGGCTTAAAACTCTCCTATGACAAACGTGCTTCAAAAAGTTAATTTTTGTCATCTTATGTAAAAAAAATAATTGTGATAACTGCGGTTTTCTATTTCTCACTTAAATGCTTTTTGTCAATACTTTAGTATAGAATTTTTACTTTTAGTCTGCTGGATAATTTCAAAACGAAGTGTTTCTTATAAACAGTATATTACTCTGACCTGATAAGTTTACTTCATGGTTCTATCTTTAGATGGTCAGTACAACCTACTGGGCTTCTATGACACCCAAATGGACAACCTGACCTGGTTTAAGAGAGAACAGTGGAAAGGTAATGTCACTAATATTACATGCTTCCATGTCTGAGTAAAAGTTAGAAATATCCTTTGATGTTTTATTTTATATAAATTATTGTAGTTGTAATCTGTAAATTTTGAAAGACAGTTGCAATATTCTCAGCAACACTTAACACATTTTTAGCCTTTGAGGATGTCAAATTAAGGCTTAAAACTGGTTCGTATCAGGTGTGTATATGAGGAAGTTCATTATTAGACTACTCATTGACTAGATCTGGAACCTTTAATAACTAACACTGCACACTTCCTTACTATAACTTATAGAGTTTAAAAATTCAAACATTCACAATTATTGAAAACACGCAAAATCGGGTTTCAATACCTGTTGGGCAGAGAACAGATAGTCCATTGTGTAGCTTTGCGCTTAACAACAAAACAAACAGCAGGTTATTCACAAACACATTTAAAATGATTTAACGATATTTATTTACAAATACAACTCTGTGAAAAATCTACACCTGGAGACTGAACTACTCAGAAACTTAATGACACACAGCTTAGTGAACTACAGAAGTAAAAGTTTATCATACAACTATCGGCTTAATAATAGCTTCTTATCATTGTAATATTCAATTATGATATGTTTCGCTATGTGTATAGCCATGATTTTAAAGACAATAGTAACATCTACCTAACACACCAGAGTGGACTGAAACGAAGACAGTTTTAGTGACATATAAGTCAGATATGCTTTCGAAGCTAAAATGAACTGTAAACATAGGCGTGCGGGGGGAGTGTACAATTTTTGCCGAATGAGGTTATGAATAAGAAATTTCTGCTACCATTTTTCCCGAATGAGAGTAAAAATTGCCCGAATGGTCGGAAATGTATTGCAAGCTGGGGGCTACCCCCCGCCTCGTACGACTATGCCTGTAGAAGATGGATTTCAACACCTAAAACAAGTTGAGTGTTTTGGAAAAAAGGTCAACGAAGACTATACTCTCAATGAAATGGGTAAAACATACAGGTGAGTGACAAATTTGACATATAAACTTCTTAAAGTGTTGTTCTTTTGACAAATTAGACATATAAACTTCTTAATGTTTTGTACTTTTGACAAATTCGACATATAAACTTCTTAAAGTGTTGTTCTTTTGACAAATTAGACATACTAACTTCTTAATGTTTTGTAATCGAATTTGTCAAAAGCATATAAACTTCTTAAAGTGTTGTACTTTTGACAAATTCGACATATAAACTTCTTAAAGTGTTGTTCTTTTGACAAATTAGACATGCTAACTTCTTAATGTTTTGTACTTTTGACAAATTCGACATATAAACTTCTTAATGTGTTGTACTTTTGACAAATTCGACATATAAACTTCTTAATGTGTTGTACTCTCGACAAATTCGACATATAAACTTCTTAAAGTGTTGTACTTTTGACAAATTCGACATATAAACTTCTTAAAGTGTTGTTCTTTTGACAAATTAGACATACTAACTTCTTAATGTTTTGTACTTTTGACAAATTCGACATATAAACTTCTTAATATTGTTGCGTCATCGAGTCACATGACTACTGTGACGCAACGTTTCTAGAACTATCATGTACTTTGGCGAATGCTCTAGTGTTTGCTAGATGGGGTGGGCGGATATATATAAGAGGGGAAAACGTGACGCGGGAATTAATGTAATGTGTGAGTAGATAGTGAGTAATTGAACTGCAGTCAGAGAGCACGAGAGACGTTACAGCGTTTGTTTAGCGCGATTGTTGAAGTTGAGTGTATCGGTAAAGTTATATTCGGAAAGAATAAACCAGTTTTTATTAAGAAAGAACATGTGTCGTTTAAGTTTCGTCGGAACGAAGTTACGGAAAATCAATTAACAAACGGAGACGTAACAATATGTTGTACTCTCGACAAATTCGGCATATAAACTTTTTAATGTGTTGTACTCTTAAGCTGTCGAAGTTCAACAAATATTGGTGTTTCTTGTCGCTAACGAAATATTTTCAACAGCTTATTAAACATAAAATTATTTTGTAAAGTAACGAGTCCTTACTCTAAATGAAAGATTCCGGATGACGCTTACAATCTGTACAAAACAAAAACAACTTGTTGAATAAATAGAGTTGTTTAAACATTTGTTTAACAACAAGTAAAAGATTGGAATGGTCTATTCTTTCATTGGGGTGTGTGTCTGTGAGGAGTGGAATTCTCCAGAACTAGTCTGGCTCACAGACACACACCCCAATGAAAGAATAGACCATTCCA